GTTTTCAAACTGAATCAATTTTGTCAATTTTAAACTAAGAATATTTTCAGTTTTAAATCTAGAAAAAACTAAAAAAATTAGACCAAAAAAATATTGTTAATTAAGTAAGTTAAGAAAAATTACTATTAAAAATGGTTTAAATTGTAAATTTATAACAAAAAATTGTATTTTTATTTTTATATAATTTGTATTTAATATTAATTTCGTTTGATAGATTTCGTTGTGTTGATTCTAGAAATAAAAAGTTTATAAAAAATAAATGTATATTGTAAAAATTATGATGACTTGAAATTTTAAAAATCAAAATAAATGTTACATCACCATACTTTTTTTTATAAAAAAATTACAAATGATGAACAACCATTATTTGAAGGGTAATTTCGTTTATTAAAAATTAATGAGATTTGAAGGAGTAAAAAATATTATCTAGGACTTAATGGAGTATAAGTTCACAAAATGAGACTTGTGTATAAATGTCCCGTATAATATTTTATTTTCTGAATAATTTCATATGATTTTATAATTGATATAATTATAGTTACTGATATAGACATAAATTATATTTATTGAAATATATTTTGAACATTTTCGATGGATAACATTATTAATTTATGGGGCCTCGTTTATTAACGTTTTAGTTTACAAAAATAAGAAATAACGTTTCGTTTACTTTTATAAAAAAACAAAAACAAAAAAAAAAACTTGTTTGGTGTACAAAAATGTTTTGAAAAACAAATAAAAAAAATCAAGAAATATATTTTATGAGTTGCTAGAGTAGATGACAAATGATGAAAGGTGGTGGATAGATGTGGTGACCAGTAGTAGTGGATGGTCGGAGGTGTCCACCAGAGTTAATGTTTGGATGTTGTTGAAAGCCACAAGATGGCCGAGATTCACGATAATGATCGCCTATCTATCACAAAATTGCCAGAGGTTGGCCGGAGCTCTCCAACTGCCAATGGTGTATAGTGTTGGTCGGTGGCCGGTGGTGGCATTGGGTGATGGTGGGTGAGAGGAGAAAATGAAATTTTGTTTTAAAAACAAGTGAAAACATATATATATATTTTTTTGTATTTTTAACAAATTTGAAATCAATTTTATTTTATTTTTAAAACGAAAACAATATGCCAAACAAATTTTTGTTATCAATTTAAAAAAAAATAAAACAAAATAAATAAATAAAAACATTAACAAACAATCCTTATTATTTATTTATTTTTTCTCATGCAGGCGTACATTAAATCATTTCCGCAGCATGCATGTCATTGTTGTTTTTGATACGTTGTTAGACAAAAAGAAGAACAGAACAGAATCTACGTTCTCTTTAGATAGATTTTGACTATTCCTAATAGTTAGTTAGTTGGATTTTGACTATTCCTAATAATTAGTTAGTTGGTGTTGCTTTTGTTTTTTCAAAGACTAATCTGGGTGATTCTTCATAGTATTTGACCATTCATAATTTTATAAATATTTATGGCAAATAGACTAAATTGTAATTTTCTCTTAAAATGATTGTGGTGTGATGAGATTATCTCTGTCCCATTCTATATATTTTTCATTGTCAAAAATATTTTTAACACTCCAACAATTAAGAGTTTTATGATTCAAAATTGTTCTCAAAAGTAAAAATTTTGTTATAAAAAAAATTTAGAGACCAAATCCTGTTGTGGCGAGCATATATAGTTGCTAAAATGTTAGGTCAAAAAGTAAGAATAAAAAAAATAGGGACAATTTTGAGAATGCAAGGACAAAATAATTTGATTACAAAAGTTTATTTTTTGAGATAAATTTTGGTCCGGATAGTAATTCATATCTAAATGTCCAATTTTATTTCTAAAAATATAACAATGACATTTTTAATAATAAAAATATTTTTTCTCTAAAAATAATTTTGTTTCTGAATGTTTTGTTTCTAAAATTTAAATTTGTTATAACATAACCTTTACCCTCGATCACCCAACAATATGAGACAGAATATAAGATAAGACCAAACGTGATAGATAATTTGTGTTCCAAACGTGACATTTGTGCTCGACTCTCTCTTTATGTGGAACCCATATGAAATCCTCACCAATTACTAGCAAGATAATTGTATGTTGAATATTAGTTTCTCTAGAAGAATCTTAACTTTGCTGTTGATAATAAATGTTCGAAAAGTGATTTATAAATAATTTTTTTTTTTTTGAAATAATGTATCAATTGTATTTGCAAAATTACAGTGATAATAGTGAATTTTTTATTAGAAAATAAAATGACCACAATATGCCAACGCATTGTGTATAAGTCGTGTGCAAACTTTCTGTTTGTATAATTATTCAAGCTAGGAAAAAATTAAAAACAAATAAGAAAACATATAAAGAAGAAAATGTCTATATTGACTCATGTGGCTAAAGTGCCAATTAGGGACGTACATGGTAAGTGTTACACGTCCAATTATGGATTTCGCTTGCAAATTTGTGTGCGTTCCAACAATATCATTATTTGAAAAATAATATTAATCATTAAATTTATAGATGAAACACCAATAAATCTTAAAATGTAATATTGTGAATTGTTTAATCTTTTAATTTTTTTTTATGAACTCAAAAGTCTCATTAAAGTGGAAATTACACAAAATGGTAGTTAATTATACGTTTGGGTTTAATTTTTGAAGGATAAAAGTGGGTTCCTCCAAATGTAAAACTACACATTTGGACAATTGGCACTATAGAGGTTTTCAAATTTTCCTCCTTCTAGAACAAATCCTATATTATGAATAAAAACATAAAACTCCAATGTAATACTCTAATAACGTAACACTACAATGCAACACATTAAAAACATTTCAGTGGATTGGAAACTTCAATCACATGAAAGAGTGATTAAGGTAGATATGCTTGAATTGAGCTTCCACCGCATCCATCAAATTCTTAATCATACAACCAAGTGAAAGACTCTTAATCGTCCATAGGTTATATATCTATATAATAAGGGAGGAAGGATTTTGAAAATGTGTAAAAATGTATGAGAGATACATTTGTATCAATGGTTGAGATCTTTCCTGATCAGCATCTAACGGTTGTCTCTCAAACACTCCTCTCATTTGAAAATGAAAGAAAAAAGGGAAGAAAAGTAACAAAAAATTTAGTTGATTTTATTTACATTTCCCTCTATAAATCTCTTTCCAACTCATGCGGGATTTGTAGAAAGAAAAATTTAGTTGATTTTATTTACATTTCCCTCTATAAATCTCTTTCCAACTCATGAGGGATTTGTAGAGAGAAAATGAAAGAAAAAAGAGAAGAAAAGTAACAAAAAATTTAATTGATTTTATTACATTTCCCTCTATAAATCTCTTTCCAACTCATGAGGGATTTGTAGAGAGAGAATGAAAGAAAAAAAGGAAAGAAAAGTAACAAAAAATTTAGTTGATTTTATTTACATTTCCCTCTATAAATCTCTTTCCAACTCAAGATCCAAAATCTACGAATTAGGAAGGAAAATTAGTAAATTTCTATCATTCCATATTTGAAATAACTATAATTTTTTAATGGTCTTTCAACTTTTTATTCGCGCCGCCCCCCAAAAGTATATTTTCATATTATTTGTATTTATTATTATTTTTTAAAAAATGTACAAATATTTTATTTTTATATATATATTCAAAAAGTAAAAAAAAATTATTAAAATATGAAAAGTTCTTTAAAAACATCGAAACCCCCCCAAAAAAAAAAAGGAAAAAAAAAAAAAGAACAACAACACTTCAATTTGGATCCTGCTTAATCTTCCCATTGTATCCCACCCCCTCCATACCATAGGACTCAGTATAGTCCCCATACGGGGGGCATATGTAGCAGTCCCAAGAAAATGTAAATCCATCCAGAGGTCTACTTTTATATCTAAACGTTGAATTTAAAATTGAGCACAATACATGGCCTAATCTCTCCAAACAAACACAACACAAGTGCAACGAGTCTTGTGTTTGGAGAAGAAACAGTACAGGGTACTGCCTAAACACTGCACTGCCCAACACATCCATGAAGAACATGCTTTGTACAATCAATTGTTGAAAACACTACTGACTATTTTTTGAGCTATGACTGAATTCTTGATGCTTATCCTTCTTACACTAGAACCCTATAACTATCATTCTCAGGAGTCGGACTCAATTCTAAAGCCTAAAAGGAAAAAGAGCAAAGAAGTCTATGGACACGAAATCAACCATGTGATGTGATCTGACTAAACCTGTATATATCTTTTAGGACGGGCATGATTGTTTATGTGGATGGTTCTGTATCCATAAACTTGTTGAAAGAGAATGTACTCAAAGAAAGACAAAAAAACCTAATATAACATTCATAACCCAACTTATTGAAAAGAAAAGCATTTTACTAGTCATTCTGAAATCAAAAGTTGTCTCCTGCCTGTTTGTACAGAAAGGAAGGATTTATCATCACGGTCCCAAATATGATCATATCATTTTACTTAATCATAACAAAGAAAACTGGGCTGCAAACTAAGTATTGGCAAAAAGCTTACAGCCATTGCAAGAACAGTAACCGATGTGGGTTCTTCTTGCAGCGAGAATACGATTTCTAAATCAAGCCAAAGCTGCCAGGCAAGGGTGAAATGCAGTGCCACAAGCGATCCACTGACGCTTCCTCCCACGTGGCAGCGTGCACCCAGGAACCTTAAGCCATTCCTTGCTCGACACATCGTAGCTAACCAGTCGGTTCATTTGTCTCGATCTCAACGACAACATGAGTAAACCTTTGTTACCCAAGCAAGTCATTCGAACGTGCTTTCCGTAAAACTCCAAGCACCATATGTTTGGCATTCTGTCAACCTCCTTCCACAATAGAGTCATCTTCTGCAGCTCCCATATGCACACGCACGTGGCAGCATTTTTTGTCAGTAAACCCACAAGAATGATCTGGCCCCCACATTCTGCTAGTGCGTGATCACTCAGATGAAGAGGGGATGGGATTACAAATTGGTTCCATAACCCGGTAACCATATTGTAGGACACAATCCCATCTGGGTCGGTACGCATGAAGTAAAGCGTCCCATCAATGGACACTGCTTGTGACTTGAAGTTCAGAGACAACGGTAGCTTAATCGTGGAGGGCATGTTTCCCAGGCGGGCCCAGGAGTTCTTTATGGAGTCGTAAACTTCGTACTCACCCTCACAACCCACCCAAAGGATTTTATAGCCCCCACTGGTTGAATCTTCATTCAAAGTCATCCCCACAGCAACTCGGGACCAAACCTTAACTGACCTAGCTGGCAACTCCTTGAAGGACTGAGTAAGAGGATTGCTAACAAAGAAGCTTCTATGGCCAATGTCAAGAAAGCAGACAAGACCACCTATTGAAGCCACTGGCAAGACAATTAACTTTGTTGGCAAAGCAGGGTTTGTAGGGTGATGCCATTTTTTCGAGGAAGGGTCATACATGGCTCCAGTATTCGCATTTTCGTGAGTGATGGTGTAAAACCAAGGTTGGGCTTGTGGGACTCGTGCACATTGTTGGGAGAAACTATGAGAGGTCGGCAAGGAATTCCACTTTTTACAAACAGAGCGGAAGCGGAAGAAAGTGGCAATAGGAAGTCTTGCAATCACAGCTTCGTAAAGGTCTTCTGGAAATTCTTTCCAGATCTGATGTTCCATAATTTCAGTCGAACTGGTAGCATCAGCTAATCTTCCCAGATTCCTCTCTTTTCGAGATTTCTTTGCATGTGGAGGTTTGCTAGGTTCCAGCATCTTGAAAGTTCCAGGTTTTTCAGGCCTTATAGTGAAACTGTAACAACCATCTTCTGCAGAGTTATCATCAAGATTGAAGAAGCAACATCTGTACAAAATGCAACCATTATGCTCAGATTTCTGCAAAGTGAAGGTACTTTAAGCAGACTTGGAAACCACGCAACAATTTGCTACAAATACATGGACATATATGCAAATAAATGCCTCAAATTGAAATATCATCTAGGACACGCCTGGAAAAATAGTATTGTCCAATATTAATTTACACCACAACCTAGCAATGTCGAAATGAGTACCAAAAGTCAAAACTTGGACAATCAAGACCTAAAAGCTACTGCAGTCTATCCTGTCATTATTGATTCAGCATCAGCCATGCCTTTACAACTCCACTTCACAGTCACATAAGACGGTTTGGTCATCATGAATGCTGGTAGGTTCTACTATTTATGGAGTATGGAAAAGCATGCTGAAGTAAAGCACAAGGGGAGGTAAAATCTGGAAACTAAGACTTATAAGCTTTAACATGACATGGCATTACCATTTTTATGTTTGATTTGTAATGGCATGCTGAAATTAAAGTACAAGGAAAATGAGGCAAAATCTGGAAACTAAGACTGATTAGCATTAATATGATGTGGCATTACCATTTTAATGTTTGATTTTTAATGGGTATGGATATGATATGCAACTAACAGATTTTACACATATTGGAGAAGTTAGGTCATTGATAAAACCATATGCAAGATTTTATGTTACACGAGCAAGCAAACACTTGGTTTAGTGCTTCCACCTGAAAATAATAAAAAAATAAAAAAATAAAAAAAGAAGGAGAAGGAGCAAGCAAACATCTTGCATATATCATTGTTTCATGAAGAAAAAGCTAAGCCTGTCTTAATATATGAGTAGGGTGTCAATATGACTGTAAATGAGTCAAACCAAGTAGTGGGTTGTTTGAAGCTTATCCTGATAACAGGCTTGAAAAAGTGTTCAAACTTAGTTTATCTATCTTTCGAACCAATCTTAAGTGAACTCTGACTGAGCCGATCATGAGCTGAGCTCAAGTACTTAGTTTTCTATACAGTTCTAGTTACATATAAGCATATCAAGACGAGTTTGAGCTGAGTTAAAAAAAGTTTTAAAAAATTAATGAGTTTGAGCTTGGCTCATTTTTTAACACACTTTTAGTGAACTAAACATGAGTTGAGCTTAAATAACTTGGTTTGTTTTACTGCCCTAGGTGTCAGTCCACTAGCAGTCAAAGCAAACCGATGCCAAAAATTCAATGTGCCAGCTTTTGATGATTCCAAACATACAACAAGCCACCAGTCTCGGGGCTGTCAGTTCAGATACAAAATCAGTTACAAACTAATTCTTGGATTGCATGGACATAGACCAACACATGAGACAAATAGTTGTATGACTTTCTTCTCCTTTCTCAATCCCTCTTTGCAATCTTCTCAAACTCGGAAACATTCAAAATTGGGGTTTATATCTTCATCTATACCCCTAAGATTCAAAGTAAGTCTTAATTTGTGATTTTTAAGTATTGCATTTAAAAATTGGGAAATAAGATTCTTTGCAGTTTGCGCGTGGGGTCACCATGTACAAGGTGCATGTCCTGAGAGCTTCTTTTGGAGTTTTCACTGCTAACCCTACCTGATTCCAGTATTGAACAGTTGACTCACGTGCTATGCACAGTGATAATTTAAGTCAAAACCAAATATTAAATTTAAAAACTAAAAATATGTCTCTTGGTCAACACATTACATCCCCTGTAAGTCTACAATGTTGTTTCACATTCATAATTTCTCGTAATGTGTAATAACTATAAAAAATAAATATTGTAATTTCTAATTTACTGCTTTTGCAAGCACAACATGGGAAGCATAGTAAAAAATAAAATTGCAATGACCATCAAGTGTCATGTAAGGTAAATAACACATGAGATGGGGAGGACAAATAAATCTGGTTCAAATTTTCCAAATTAAAAAATTAAGGTTCAAAGATCATGAACCCCTCCAAAAAAAGGGGAAGAAATCAGGATGAGATCGATCTAGAAAGGAACATATCAGTAAATTACCAATAAAGTACAACGTGTGGGCACATTTTGAACAGTAAAAAGCTGCCCAGATCAGGAAGTCATGGGGACACCGGGGCTGGCTTTTAGTACGTGTCTGATGTGGGCCGAAAGATACCATATTCAGGCCACTTAAGCTACATTTATATTCCTTAAAGTACGGTTATTTGGTAGAGATGGTGCATTTCGTGTAATTGTGCTAGTTTGGTGAACAACACATGCATTTTCAGGCTAAAATTGGCACACAAGCAGCTCCTTCGTTTGAGCAATAATAGATTGCTGCCTGCTGGTCCACCACACGTGCGGCCAACCAACGCTCGACCAGCCAATATGGGCACTCGAGCGGCCAACTTTGGGAAGCTTGCGCGGAAATTTCAGTGTGATTTTCTGAGAATAGAAGAGAGAAAAATAGACTTTCCTAGGGTTTTAACTTTTGGGGGGCTGAAATAGAGAGGCAACTAGGGCTAAGGAAAAAAGCTTGATTATCCATGAAGGCTACCGCCATCTTCACCACTTCCATCTCATCTCTTCCCTCCTCCGTGAGCGGCTGAGCATCTTCGCATCTTTGTTAACCCTAGTCACATAACTGGTTTATTGTAATCTTTGATAGTACACTTGTAATGTTTTGGTTGAAATTCTTGTAAAGCTTTTGAGCTCAATTTAATATTTTTCTATCTTTACTCTTTATTCATTTTATGTGATTATTGATTGAATGCTTTACTTTGTTTTTCATTGTTGTTGTATTCGGAATCCAAGACAAGCTATGTTATGACTAAATGGATAGTGCCACAAACCCTAGTTTAGAGTGAACAGTCTGTGCCACTTAAGATAGGGCGTGCTCGCGCTTCAAATGCAACTTTATCTCTCTTCCCAATTCCCGACTTTGGGTTGAGGAATTGGTTCATTCCAATCAAGCATTCGTGTGCTTCGTAGAGTGCAAATCCATGTATTAAACTAGTGGTGGATTTGGACACCTAAGTTCCCAATCCAATTAATTCAATATCATTTTTATTGCTTTATTAATAAGGATTTCATAAATTATTTCACCGACAAACAACCAACCACTCATTAAATTAAGTTGAGAATTAAAAATTGAAATAATTTTAAAATACACATTAGTCCTTGTGGATACGATACCCATACTTGCTATCTATACTAATTTAATAGAGTTTGGAAAGATTGGTTCATGACATACCAATGTCACAAGGAGGGACTTTGAAAAGCATTCTGAACAGACTCAACACATTCCAAACATCACTCAAACACATACCATATATCATGAGAAATCATGATGCATGAGCAATGCTGTTTGTGGCAAGGCACATGCAAGCTAGAAAAAATGTAAAATGTTTATTTGATATTATACAAACTAGGACCTGTAAAACAGGAAGGAAGCAGTTTTTATAAGCTTATGGGGACAAGATAGCAAGGACAATGAGTTGTCCGAGATTAGTCAAATTAAAACCTCAGTTTCCCCTTAGTGCGAAGACATATATGAGCTAGAAAAAACATAAAACCGTTGCTTTGATATTTTATAAACTAGGTCCTACAAACCCGAGAAGTAGTTTTTATATATGAGTGAGTCGTCCAAGAATAGTTAAAATAAAAACATGTTTCCCTAATGACACAATCAGGCAACTTAGAGATAAACTGCTGAAAAACAATTATTATCCTGTAGGAAAGATGAATTTCGTGGCCAGTAATGCAGATGTCAAACAGGTGTGTAATCACGTGGATGTCAAACCAAACACCAAAGCTGCACCTTTTTTTTAACTAAATTGGACACGTGCATGAAAGGAAAATTGATCTTTATGAAACTATATCAGCAGAAAGGATCAGATGATCACTGCATATAAAAAATGTCTTCCATTTTTACATGAAAATAAAACAAAACTCCCACCCCACAACCTGTACCAAAGTAAAACACATAAATTAGAATAACGAAAAAAAGCTATGCATGATGTAAAACAGCACATACGAGACCAACTTTTTGACTTGCTATTGTTCTTGTAATGTAAGGGTGTCTTTTTCAAGGCATATTTTGGGGAGAGGGGTGTTGAGGGGCAAATTCAAAGTAATCAACCTACAAGATAGACTGCAGGCTACAGGTCCAATGGTAGGTCAAATTCAGGTAGGTACGTGCTTCAGATCGAAGGCAAACAAGCATCACATTTTAAAAAAGATGCTTCCAGAACACAAAAAGTTTCAAAGAATCGCACAAACGAAAACACTAATCAACACTATATTTTAGTTTCATCCAACAATTGAGTAGATTATCTACAACAAAATTAGAAGTAACAAATGAGGTGTTATGAATAAAAACAAGGTTGATAGTGAGGGTTAAATAGGTTTCAATACTCATCGAATTGATTGCAAACATGATAAAAGAAATCTGACCTAAAATTCCGAATGAATGAAAGAAAAAGAAACAACTGACTAAGAATAAATAGAAAACCTAAGAAACTCAATTGAAGGGCAAAACGTTGCTTACAGTAAAATTTGCTCCATTTTTGAAGCAAAAGTAACAACATAGATCCATTAACAAATAATTAGATATAGAGAGAGAGAGAGAGAGAGAGAGAGAGAGAGACCTGTGGTGGTGGTGGTGGTGGTGGTGTGACGGTGGGTGGTAGTGGTGGTGGTGGTTGAGGATAGTAAGGAGGAGAGCCGTAGAGTTCTAAGATGAGCTGTCTCAGCATGACCAACTCTTCCATGCCCCAACTGTCAGGGCTTTCTTTCTTTCTTCTCCTCCTCCTCAGCCGCTCCGCCCCTCCCCCACCCCCCCTCTCTCTCTCTCTCTCCTCACTTCACTTTCTCTTTATATAACCATTTTCTCTCTGTCTCTCTGCTTCTCTCTCCTGATTAATTACCCGAGTTACGTTAGCTATTTAAATAAATAACTAAATTTTTAATCAAACTTTTCTCATGGTGCGGATTTATTCCACGAGCAAGGATCCTCTAGAGTGATTTTTCTCTAAAGTTTCTTAGAGTGCTATATCGTGTGGTTGACATTTACTGACAAGTCACATCAATTTTTCTGATGTGACTTGCTAGTAAATCTCAACCATACAATGTAGCACTCTAGGAAACTTTAGGAAAATTTCACCCTAGAGGATCCTTGGTGTTATTCCACACCTATGGATAGATTTAATAAAAAAATTTAATAATTTATATAGAATTCATAATATTTTTCTTAATTACTCACTCTTCTTTTTCCACGTCACCAGGCCCATTCGGTAATTAGTGCCTATTTGATAGTTTTTTTTTAAAGTTAAAAATTGATAATAAAAAAATTAAAAATTAAAAATTAAAACGTTTAAATAATTGAAGATATTTGAGACTGAAAAAAAAAAAAAATCTACAATCATACTTATAATGGTATGATATTATATGTATCAACTTTTAATTTGTTATAAATTTAATTTTGTAGGATTCAACTCTTTTGTCACATTATTATAGGTGAAAGTGTATGTCTAAAAATATAAGTATGTAACATTGGTTATAATCAATTTATTTAAGTGCTCGTTTGACAATAGCTTTTTTAGTTAGCTTTTTAATTTTTTTGACTTTTTTAGTCTAGAACTTTTTTGTCGTTTGGGAAGTTGATTGGCTTTTTAACTTTTTAGCTTTAAAATGATAAATTTCTGTTTGTCTTTTTGTGATTTTTGTCCTTTTGTGATTTTTTGACTTTTTTTTTGTCCTTTTATAATTTTTTAGCCCAACGCAAAAACCAAACGACCCCTAAGAGCATCTCCAACGGTTTACCTAATTTTTCACTAAATTTGAGTAAAAAAATGACTATTTTCTCAATTTGATACAGAATGCTCCAATGGTTGATTTTCATCAAATCTGCTTCAGGGACAACCAGTTGGTCGACCAACTGGTCGATCGGTAAGGCAAATTTTTTTTTTTTTTTTGAACCTACATATTTGAACTGTTTGAACCTACCTATTTGAACTGTTTGAACCTTTTAGTGGTCGACCGGCTGGTCGACCGATAAGGTAAAAATATATATATATATATATATATTTGAATTGTTTGAACCAACCCATTTGAACTGTTCGAATCTTTTAGTGGTCAATCGGTTGGTCTCTTTCAACGATCAGGAACAGTAATTTGGTAAAATCAGTACCTTGTTCTCAGTTTAATGATTTTTTTGTTGAATTCTCATTTTGATATCAATTTGCTGAAACTGTTGGAGCACTAAAAAGTGACTTTTTCACCAAAATTCAAATCTGATGCCAAGTTTGGTTCGCCTATATATATATATTTAAATTGTTTGAACCAACCCATTTGAACTGTTCGAATCTTTTAGTGGTCGATCGGTTGGTCAACCGGCCGGACAACTGGCTGGTTGACCGGTTCAGCTCTTTCAACGATCAGGAACAGTAATTTGGTAAAATCAGTACCTTGTTCTCAGTTTGATGATTTTTTTGTTGAATCCTCATTTTGATATCAATTTGGTGAAATGATTGGAGCACTAAAAAGTATTTTTTTTACCAAAATTTGAATCTGATGCCAAGTTTAACTCACCATTGGAGATGGTCTAATTTATTTCAATCTAATAAACTTTGCATCAGATACTTTGGTAACAAACAACCCATCAGTAGTTAGGACCAGTATGCAATATAACCTCTTTTGGCAATTAAGTTAAAAGTGAACTTTTTGACTTATTTGAGTAATATCAACTCTTCATTATTTATTTTTTTGGTACGTTTTTTCAAAATAAAAGAGTAAAAAAAATATGGAAAAGTAAGTTTTTAATCTACTCACTAAAATAGGCCTTTGAGCCGTTCATTACAAGTCTCGTTTTAATAATTTAAATTGTGTATTTTATAAATCATTGTGTATACTATTCATACAAAATTAAATTGATTCGATAATCGCAATATTTTTATTTTATTGTGTTTGTTTTAAAAAAAAAATGAGAATTCATTTCAAAAAATACTTATCATCCATTTTTATGGAGACAAACACAATAAATAGGCTTCAATTTTCGTACAAATGATATACACTGAAGACCTTACAAAATAAAAAGGTTCAGATTATCAAAAAAAAAAAAAAAAAAAAAAATTATAATGGGTTTCACAAACCCCTCAAGTAACTTGAGAAAAATGCAACTGTTTAGTTTCTATAATATAATTGTATGCCCAACTAATGATATATTTTTAAAATATTTTTTGATATATTTTTATTTTTCTTGGTTATGTAATTACATCATACCCTCACCATAGAATTCTTAAAATTTCAGATAATTATTTCTAACTGTTACTTAAAATTTTACTTTGATTTTTCATTTTTAATTGTAACGATTAAAATATATACACTTTAACCCATATTTGAGATCCATATTATTGTCATCTCATTATTTAAAAATTTAAACATGAGATATTAAAATCAGATGTAAATGACAGTTGAATAATAAAAATAATAATTTGTCTTGTATTTTTTCGCTTTTAGTGTTTTAGAGATTATGAAAACTAAAAAATATTTTAGAATATGTTTAGAATTTAAATTTATAATATAATTTTAAGTCACACATGAAATGTATGTGACCCACACATTTAAAAATAAGTAGGTTTGGAATACTAATTTATTTTTATCAAGATAATTATTTCTTTTGACTTGATAAGATCAAGTTGTTCCCTTTTTTGTACTTTTTTTTTAATAGGAAGAAAACAAAAAAATATATTATCATTACAAAGTTGCATAGACAAAGTCCTAGATACTTTTCTTTTCTTTTTTTTTTTTTTTTGATAAAGCTAGATACTTTAATTGAGTCTTGCATCAATTATACCATTAAAAATTTTACAATCAAACAAATCTTAGAAAGATTCGGGTCAAGGAAAAAGAAAGAGAGTTATTTTGTGAAGAAAAAAAATATAGAAAAGTCTTTATGGGTAGTACATTATGTGCTTCTTATTGCTCAAAAAGCTTCACTGTGCATTTCCCCCAAAATCAAGTCCATCCATTTTATTGGTAATCAAATTAAAAAAAATGTTCATCCACTTATGCAGTGACGAAGGGAGAAATTGTGCAAAGGGAGAGCTAAAACAAAATTATATGGATTTTGGAAATCAAAATATTTATTTATTTTGCAAAAACTCAAAATGATATGAAAGCAATGAGATTTTCAAAGGTTGGGAGAGACTAAAATACTACTTTGTTTTATAATTACTAAAAATTGCATTAAAATAATGAAATAAATTCAAAATTTTGGATAGCAAAAGCAAAATTATTTAGATTTTAGAGTTAGAGTTAAATTATATATATTTTGAAAAGGCCAAAATGCAAACTGCTTTTATATAAATATTTAAAATTACATGATGAAAGTGTAATTTCTCGAAAGTTTGGGGGGGGGGCAGTGGCCCCCGTCCTCCACCCCTGTGTCCGCTAATGCATTTAGGCTCCGTTTGAGAAGATAACATTTCAGTCAAAAAGTTTTTTTAAAAAATATATCTCATATAAAAAGTCAAGAATTCTTCACATTCACTCTATTTTTTGTATGTTTTTTTTGAACTACTAGATTTGGTTAAAGTTAGCAACACAAATTACTTATCTATTTTTACACAATTCAACAAGTTTTTTTTTTTTTTTACATTTTACATATTGGATATGGACACGGACATGAACAGAGAGGCATAATCATAAATTTCGAAAATAGCTTAATTTTATCAATCTAGCTTGTCTATTTTTCAGAATTTTCAAAAATAAAATTTGAAAATTCAACCAAACAACATTTCATAAAAAGTAAAAAATAAAAAGTTCAGAAGTAAAAAAAATATTTAAAAAACACTAAAATACAAACGAGCTCTTGAGGTTCATTTGGAAATTAATTTTTTTAATGAGTTTTTAGTTCATTACGAAAAGAGGTCAAAAATGAAAAGAAAAAAAAGAGAATAACTTTTTGTATTAACTTTATTGAATTTTTAGAAATTAACTATTTTAGTTAAACGTATAAAAAAGTAAAGAAAATAATTGACTTTTTGATTAATTTAGGATTATTTTAGAAACTAACTATTTTAATTAATTTTTTACAAAAAAAAAATGTATATAAAAAAAAAGTAACCTTTTAACTATTTCAACTGATTTTCAAACATGCCCTTAATCCATTGTCAAAACAAACCTTACTATCTCATTAAAAAAAGAAATTAAAAAATCATTAAAAAAAGTAAATACCAAACACATCTGAAATGCTGTGCATTTTTTTCTTTCTTTCCACGAAGGCGGCATGATTGTCCCACAGCAACTTGCATTCTTATGATGGTTTTGTTGGAGTTACGGAAGTACCTAATAGATGATCCCTCCATTGTGAAATACCTAAATTACCTTCAATTTTGGTAATATCTCATCTTTTTTCTATATTATTATTATTTTTTTACCCCCTTTATTTTCCATATTGATGTCCTATTTTTAGGTTTATTATGTTTCCAAATAGTCAAGTTTATGTTGGGACATAATCTAATCATATAATTATTAATATATATTTTTTCAAAAAAAAATATTTTTTAATTTGACTACAA